GCCTTTTTCTGAAGGATAAAGACATCTTGGCTGTGTGATCCACCCCAAAATAAGATGACGTAGCACATTATTGAATAAAAATATCTCACAACATTAAAGTTCGTGTGTTTTTTTAACTGTTTCAATGTAAAACATACTGAGCTGAGCTTACAACAGAGTTACATGGCCAGACTATCCAATATTCTTATCCACGACTACCTCCAAAAACTTAGCAGAACTGACAGACTGAATTTCTTGATTGTTTAAACATATTTCAGATGGATAGTCTTGTTTGTTTCGACTGTGTTCAAATAAGATGCAATTTGTCTTAGACATATTTAGAACTAATGAATTTTCTGTATACCAATTTATTAATGATGCAAAAATATTTGATGTATCTGTTTGAAGGGTCCTTTAATCCTTTCTGGCTATTATAATATAAGTATCATCTGAGTAATTTGTTAATGTTACAGAAACATTGTCTAAAACATTTGCTAAGTCAGTTATGTACAGAATAGATAGGATGGAACCAAGTACACTCCCCTGCAGGAAGCCAAAAGTAATAATATTGATTACCATCAACTTTCAAACCAATTGGCATGATTAAACCAGATCTAATCAACGCCGGCCTGCCTCAGGTCAACAGTCTGAAGTTAAATGACGTGAACAAATTGCTGACCAAACACTTTGGCAAAAAGTGGAGAGCTCTAGATGAACTGATGTTTTATAATGATATCGTTCCCAGCGAGGAAATGTTGGAGAGCCACACAGAAAATCCTGAAGAGTCGGAGGAAACCCAAGACAGAGAAGCTAATCAACTTGTTGATGATGAACCCTCTTGCGAATTCATTGCAGAGATTCCATCTGTATTGGTTTAATTTTTGATATTATTTTCTACTATGTTGTTACCTAAAGAAAAATACAGTTTTAGTTTAGCACTCACTTCGTCTTTCATTGCCTTTTTTCTCGGGTCTATTTATACATTTCGGTATCAAAACCGGCAATGTCCTACCTCTAGGAACAAAACCGGCAATCTCCATATTTTTGTATTATATTTTGGAAAAACCTTGTCAGTTCTAAGTAACAGAACTATTAGTTATTGTTCAGAATCGAGTAAACTACCGTTTTCAATAAACTCCAACTATCTAGCATAAATAATAAGGCAGCAGTAGTTATTCGTAAATATCTCTAAACTATGAAAGTGGGATATTGCCGGTTTTGATACTAGGCCCCTCAGATGGAACCAAGTACACTTCCCTGCAGGAAGCCAAAAGTAATAATATTGATTACCATCAACTTTCAAACAAACTTTTTGAAATCTTTTAGACAGATAAGATTTAAACCAGTCATAAGCATAACCACGAATACCCATTTTAACAATCAAAAGCCTCTGACAGGTCTAAAATAATACCATGGGCTATAAAACCATTATCCAGGTAGTAAAGAATTTTCTCCAAAGAAGCAAAAACTGCAGTGTTAGTTGATTTACCTTTTGAAAAACCATATTTATTATTTGTTATGATCTTATTAGTTTGCAAAACAGAAATTAATCTCTTGTTCATAGCTATGTCAAATACCTTTAAGAAAGAGGACAACATACTTATAGGCCTGTAATTATCAACTAACATTAGGGTCTTCTTTTTTGAATAGAGGACGTACCACTGCAATTCTTAGGTGAATTGGAAAATAACCACTTTTAAAAGAATGATAGTGGTTCTGATATACAGGGTGGCCACTTTTTCATTGAAATGTATTGCTATCTCGTAAACCGTTGGTAACACAAAGTTGGTTAAATGGGGAAAAAGTTGCATATTTCGAAGTCCAATCTGAGGGCGTTTTGAAAACTAAAATATCAGGTCCGGTTTCCGAGATATTCGATAAAAAACAAATAAGTACCATTTCTTTATTCCGCTACAGAACGTTTATTTGCAAAAATAGACAAAAACTCATTTGGAGTTTTTTGTTTTATATCAAATTGTGCGTATGATAGCGTATTTAGTTTTTTTATCCGACGTTTCGTAAATGCAGGACCACCATCAACTTCTTTATTTGAATATGGACCAATATTTTCCTGGCTCATAATTTTAATGCATGTTCAATGTTGAATACAATGATGTAATAACATATTGTGATTAGTCAACATTTCGGAAGATTTGAACATCATCAGGTAAGTTTACAAGTACGGACCTGTGTTTTGTTAGTTAAAAATATTTGAATTAGTAAATGATGTATTATCGTTGTAAGAGATTATAAATAATAAATACCAAAGTCAAACTTTTAAGTTTACATCAAGACAACATGTTCGTTTACACATTTGCTAAAAAATATTTTCCATTTTTATGGTTTTTGCACTTGACCAATCCCAATATTAATCTATAAATAAAGTACATCCCGATTTTTAAATACATAAAGTTAGCCTGATTTGTCATATTTTGTTGGATTTTTTAAACTGATATGGTTCCTCATAGTATAAAAAAGAAAAAGTTAACAAACTGCAGATAGATACCTACTTACAATAATAATTGTATATCTAGCAACACGTCTTGATTATTATACAGATAAATTTAAATCAAGTTAACCTGGCATGTCACATTTTATTATTGTATATTTTTGACAGTCTGGTATCGGATAAAAGCATTGGTATATTTTTAATTAGGGTATTGAAAATATGGTTCGTTATAGTAGAAGTGAGAAAAAAGATATGTACGATGTGTACATAAAATGTAACAGAAATAGTGGAGAAGCTGCAGAAAGATACCTTCAGTTGTATCCAGGAAGGAGGCAACCATCTTTATTAATTTATTATAGGATAGCGTTAAATATGGCTCACGAAGGAAATATTAAAAAAAAACGTGGTAAATATTTAAAACGTAATACAATAAATGAAATAAATGTTTTGTCTCAAGTTTATATCAACTCTGAAACGTCGTCTAGAGCAATAAGCCGAGAATGTGGAGTTTCTGCAAGTACTGTGAAAAACATTCTTAAAAAACATAAGTACCATGATTACAAATTCCAAACTGTACAAAAGCTACATCCTGGAGATTATAATCGTAGAATAGAATTTTGCCGTTGGTATAAACGAAAATTAAATAATGATGTATCCTTTCATGGATGAATTTTATGGACAGATGAATCGACATTTACTAATAGTGGAATATTTAATAGAAAAAATAAACATTTTTATGCCACCGACAACCCACATTTAATTCAAGAAGTAAGACCCCAAATTAGGTTTTCAATAAACTTATGGTGTGGAATACTCAATAATAAAATAATTGGTCCTATTTTTATTGACGGAAACCTCAACCAACACAACTATTTACAATTGCTAGAAGATATGTTAGATAATCTTCCTTTAGGTGATCGAAGAAATATTTATTTTATGCAAGATGGCTGTAGGCCACATAATGCTGCATTAATCAGAAATTATTTAAACGAAAGATTTCCCAGGAGGTGGTTTGGTACACATGGACCTATTCGATGGCCCCCTAGGTCACCCTGCTTAAATCCTATGGATTATTTTGTATGGGGATATATCAAAAATAAAGTATATTATGATGGTATTCCAAATGACTTAAATCAATTACGAGATAGGATAATTAATGCGTTTAATAATATCACTCCACAAATGGTTTCTGCCAGCATAGCTCAAATGACAGAAAGAGGACATTTTGAGCAACTACTGTAGTTTTTCTCTTATCGTTAATCATTGTTTTCATTTATTTGTTTCTGACGTGATTAAGTAGTTAAATACATATTTTTTTTTATTAAATTATTTTAAGCATTTAAAATGTAGTTGTGTATTTCAAATAATTTATAATACAGGTCTGATTTCTTACACTGATAATACATCATTTACTAATTTAAATATTTTTAACTAACAAAACACAGGTCCGTACTTGTAAACTTACCTGATGATGTTCAAATCTTCCGAAATGTTGACTAATCACAATATGTTATTACATCATTGTATTCAACATTGAACATGCATTAAAATTATGAGCCAGGAACATATTGGTCCATATTCAAATAAAGAAGTTGATGGTGGTCCTGCATTTACGAAACGTCGGATAAAAAAACTAAATACGCTATCATACGCACAATTTGATATAAAACAAAAAACTCCAAATGAGTTTTTGTCTATTTTTGCAAATAAACGTTCTGTAGCGGAATAAAGAAATGGTACTTATTTGTTTTTTATCGAATATCTCGGAAACCGGACCTGATATTTTAGTTTTCAAAACGCCCTCAGATTGGACTTCGAAATATGCAACTTTTTCCCCATTTAACCAACTTTGTGTTACCAACGGTTTACGAGATAGCAATACATTTCAATGAAAAAGTGGCCACCCTGTATAGAATTTTATATTTTTTTAAAAAGTTAATTACTAATTATTTCATCAACTATTTCAATAGGACAAGTATCAGATAAAAATATTGAATTTTGACAATTATTCATTGAGTTTAAAGTGGAAAATAGATTATTTAATCAATTTGCAGCAGCTGAAGTAACAAAATCATTATAATAGTTACAAACCTCATCTGACGAATTATTGATATTACCGTCAACTTTTATTCCACTAAAGGATTTGTTATTTTGTTTGGCTTTATTTATTGATTTATTTATTACTATGTCAAAAGCACAAAATCATAAACCAAGCAACACAATGATTTAGTTTGTGTTTGGTATATGTGTTTAGAGCTATTCTTCTGTACGTTGTTCGATTTTTATGAGTCTTTTTTTGTTAGAAAGGGGATACCTTAGGGGTGATCTCATATACTTATTGTAGTAAGATCTAATGATGGAATCTATGATAAAATCAGCATAGTCACTCAATTTGTAATGGCATCTGCATGACTTTGAAGTCGTTTTCTATAAATTACTTATTTTAATAAATATTTCATATCATAACTAATTTTCACTTACGCCATCGGTCTCTATTTTTTTGATAGCTTCCATTGCTTGCAGATAGAATTTACACACATTTTGTAATAATGTGTAAATTAATTTAAACATATATAACTAAATAATTTTTATTTTATATCAATATTAAAATGAATTTTTCAAAAAAATTTCTATAATATATTCTTCGAACCACGACCAGGGAAATCTCAAATGGTCACCTTCGACTGAAAGAAAATGAATTCTGGATTCTTGAACTAATTTTTTCAATCCCAATCGATCCTGTAAAGAAAAAGAATTTTAATAATATTTAATATTAGATTTAGTGAATGAGAAATGAGATCAATAATAGATATTTTCAATGATATTAACACAAAAGGTGTGAATTTGTTGTTTCCTTGGAAATTATAAGTCTAAATTTCACGAAACAAATTTCTCCTGAAAGTACCACCAGGGCCCGCTCCAAGGCCGAATAACCCAGACGTTTTTCCAGGGCGGCAAGTCTTAGGAGCGGAATTTTTACTGTCAGAGTGTGACCAAATATTATAAATGCCGCCTTTCATTTGTACTGTTTTTACAAGAAAGTTTAAATACTTGTTTTTCACCTATAAAGTTGTAAAAAAAAATATGTAATTACGAAAAAATTATTATTAAATAAGGGTGTTATTTACCCTACCTAATATAACCGCGCGTCGCACATATACCATATAATTCAGCAAGTAAGGCGCCGCATGAACTTGTCAGAATTAGGAATAGACAAGAAATGACTTGTTTATTGACTTCAATTATAAAAGGGCTGTCTTATTACAGCATAGAATTATTTTTGCTAATTCGTCGGTGGTGATAAAAAGTGCAACTCTCAATTGTTGTGGTTCCATAATCAGTGTGATTTGTATTTTTTTAAGGTAATTTAACCGATAACTTAGCGAATCGCGAAATTAGGGTATTTTGATCAGTAAAAGACAAAAGCTTATTAAAAATAAAACAAACTTTCGTTTACATTTCATAATCTTTTTCAAGGTAGGTATTTGAAGAAGCTCCTTCTCAGATGAAAATTAAATTTTGAAAACGATTTTTGAACGAAACATAAATAAATGGTCAAAAGACTTGTTTTGATAATTTTAAAAGGACTGAAATTTGTTTCATCTGCGAAGGAGTTTCATCAAATACCTTAAAAAAAGGTTATGAAATATAGGGGAGAGGTGGGTAGCCCCGGACACCTAAGCAAATATACAGGAAAGCAAATCAAAATCAATGACTATTTTTAACTATTTATTAAAAACTAAAACACTATTATTTACTTCAAATAGCTACTACAACATAAAATAATAAAAAGGTAAAAACATGTTATTAAAGAAAATGGCAAGTAACACCGGACATTGGTGGTTAATTAACTAAATAATTAAAAGATTACGTGGTACAATAGTCACAAGTATAATATGGAGATGTCTCTGGAATATTTGCATATGCCTCATGCGCCCAGCCTTCACACTTATGACTTGTATCCACTCTTCTTTAAATGATACTTGGCATATGATGCAGAAAGTCATTTCTTGGGTTGCAAAGTTTTTGGATTCTGGAAAACAAGTTAGTGTAGGTTTGCAGACTGTTAAACTACTTGGTGATAATTTAAGATCTGACACCAAGCTTTCTGCTGTTAAGTTGCACTTGGATTTTCCCTTTAGCCTTGATTTGGAATGCATACCCGATGTTGTCGTTTTGCCTAAATTTCTTCTAACTGGTGCATTTTCCTTCGTTTCTTTCTTCTCTTCTAAAAACGTTTTATAGAGGATGGAAGTCAATACTTCGCTTTTTTCCGATCTTCTTTTCCTAGATTCGTGTCTATTCTTTGAAGCATCTGGTAGGAGCGAGAGTGCGTGTAGCATCTGTTTGAATGTCAATGTCTCAATGCTCTCGACAGCGCCTTTATAAAAAGTCCTACAGGAAATAGTTTTTACTGCAACTCTTACAGTATTTTGCTGTGGTGATGCTTGATGTGATGATGATGTGTGTGATGCGGACTTAAATGATGTGGTGACGTACGATCTAATCAAAAAGGATTTGGTGGTACTTGATGTGTAAGGGTACTATGTGGTGGCGTATGGTGTAATGGAGTATGATGTGGTGATGTATGGTGTAATGGGGTATAATGTGGTGAGGTGTGATGTGGTGATGGTGATGTATGGTGTTCTAGTGAATAATTTAAGTTCTCAAAATATGGTGTAGAAGATGATTGACTTGTAAAGTCTGATAAAGTTATGTTTTGATTGGTGGAGGAATTAGAGACATTTATTTTTGAAGTAACAGTCAATGACTGTGCCAAACTATTTGTTGGTTGAACATTGTGAATTGGTATGTTGGTCATCTCAGATGACATAAAATCTAAATTGTCAAATATTTGAGCATTATAAGGTACAATTCCCGTGCACCCGAAACCTTTTTAAGCAATTGCAGTTCTAAATGCTTTAGTTAAAGTTGTGTTTACCAATCTATGGTTACTTGTGAATAGACGTGTTGTACATGAGCTCCTACGTTATCGACAAATTTCGATGAAAATTGGGCAAATCTAAAATTGAAACCTATACCAAATTGTGAATAGTGTATACTAGTGCAAGTAGTTTATATAATTTTCTGCTAATCATGGTCTTAACTCGAGAAACCAGAGAAGGCATAGAAAATTCCGTAAATCAAGCTGTAAGTAAAAGTCTACAAAATGTTGATCTCATAAAAACAATTACTGATACCGTCACGAAGGCTGTTGTAAAAACTATTGAAACTCGATTCATAAATATAGAAAAGTCAGTGGCGTCCATCCAAAGCGAAATTAGGGATAACCAAGCTGAAAATGAATATAAGTTTAAAAAACTAGAAGACTTAATGAAAGAAATGAAAATAAAATCAGAAGAAACACATACTAGACTAGAACGTCTTGACCAAGCATCTCGTTTAACAAATTTAAGAATATTTAATTTAAAAGAAAAAGATCATGAAGATACTAGGACAGAAATTATTAAACTTTTTAATACCAAATTTGATGTAAACTTAAAATCAGAAGATATTTCAGTATGTTATAGAGTTGGAACTAAAACTGATCAAAAACACAGGGGAATTTATTTAAAATTACGCTCCTTAGAAATGAAGCAAAGTATTTATTCCAAAAAGAAGATACTAAAAGGAACCGGTGTGGTTATTAAAGAAGACCTAACAAACAGTAAAGTGATCCTTTTTAATGAAGCCTCAACTAAAGTGGGTCTCAAAAATGTTTGGACTGAAAACGGGAAAATTTATATTTACTACAATAAGAAAGTGCAAATTATCAAAAATAAAACAAATCTTCAAGAAATAATAAATAAAATATAAATATAAATAATATCATTCTTATGTACTTACCTAGTTTATTTTAATTTTGTTTCACCACATAAATTGGTGTTTTTTTTCTTTATCTTTAATAATTATATAAAAGCCTAAATTATATTATTTTATATTATTTTGTGTATTGTAGGAGTTCTTTAGGAATACTGTTGATATAATGCTTGAGTTTTTTGATATTTTAGATAATTATAATGAAATAACAACAAAAGAAATGGAAAATTTTCAGGATTACATAAAGGAACTAGAGAAAGACAGGTCGGAAAGTGGGATTGGGGTCATTCATTTTAATATTCGAAGTCTGAGGAAACATTTCGATGAACTTTTGATATATTTAGAAACAGGTACGGATATATTGGACATTATAGTTTTATCTGAAACATGGCAAGCAGATGTAAGTAACTTTCATATTCCAAATTATACGCCTTATTGCAATAATACATCTATAAATAAAAGTGATGGCACAATAGTGTACATAAAAAATAATATAACCACATCTGTAAAAATAATGGAAGTAAATTTCACTAAATTTTTACGTATAACCTTTAATAAAAAAACATCTAAACGAGTACATAGATGTAGGGGTTACAGCTTATTATAGGTCTCCTTCAACAATTATTCAAAAATTCATAGATGATTTAGAACATTACTTTGAAAACCTTCAAAAACAAAGTCTAGAAATCTACTTAGGAGATTTCAATATTAATATTCTAGAACCTGAAGTAAATGAAACAACTAGATATTTAAATTTATTACATTTTACGGATTTATTTCATATATAAATAAAGCAACTCGTGTCACTCGAACTACTAACACATGTATTGATCACATATTTCTAAGAATAAGCAAAAAAATAAGTAATCAAATTGAAACGGAACCTATAGTTTTTCATACTGCTTTTACTGATCATTATACACCCTTTGTCCATATATATTTAAACAAAAAACTCGACATATCTGCTATTGAAAATAAAAGAACACACAAAAAAATTAATTTCATTAAACTCAAAAAGCTAGTAGAAAAAGAAAATTGGGAAGATGTAATTATGGCAAGAGATACCCAAATTTCATATGACAAATTTATCAGTAAACTGAATCTTTATATAGACGAAACCACTGAAACATTCACTGTAAACAAAAAAAATAGGAAACTTAAACCATGGATAACTTCAGCCTTAATTACTTCTATCTATAAGAGGGATCAATTAAAAAAGAGATTGTTAAAAAACTTTTCTATGGAACGGGAAACCAAATATAAAGAATATAGAAATAAATTAAATACATTAATAAAAAAAACTAAAAATGATTACTATCAAACTAAATTAAATGATGCTCACGGTGACTGTAAAAAAACGTGGAAAATAATCAATGATATAAATGGATACAAAAACAGTTCAAACATTTCAAATACTGATATAAATGAAAATGGAAGTTTAGTTAAAAATAATAAAGAAAAGGCAACCTTATTTAATAATTTCTTTATAAACTTGGGTAAAAATATGGCAAATAAAATCAAAAAAATTAAATTACCAAACAATTTCTTAGCTGATAATGCCATAAAAAATTCTCTTTTTTTAGAACCAGTAACGGTTCCAGAAATAATAATATTAATTTCTAACTCAAAAAATAACTGTTCTGCAGGACCTGATAAAATATAAACTAAACTCATTAAATATATTCATAAAGATGTAGTGACTCCCTTATCGCATATTATAAACCTTTCTTTGTCTAGTGGAATAATACCTTGTCAATGGAAACATACTATAGTTACTCCTATTTTTAAATCTGGGGATCATAGCAAAATGAATAACTATAGACCAATATCTGTTATAAATAATTTTGCAAAAATATTTGAACAAGCTGTCAAAAACAGATTAATAAAATTCCTAGACAAAAATAAAGTTCTATCGAAAA